AAAGAAAATTTGTGAAAAAGAGATAGTGATTAATATGACTAACAATTTGTAATATACAAATGGGGCATTCATTAGTTTGTACACCACTTACACAGACTTAAAAAGACAGAAACATTCAGTTCTTAGTTATGACTCTACACGAGATCTGAACATATGAGACAAATATTCATACAGCACTGGATTACATGGCAATCAATACACATCGAGTGCACATTGATATGCCCGTAAAACTTTATAAATCATCCTAGTTAACTCACTTTTCATATAATCATATAATAGGCTAGTTAGCAAGGTGAGAACTATAAAACTATTGTAAATAATGTATGAATGGGTTATCGAAATATAATTAGTTTATTAGTGACAACAATCTCATTGAATACATGGATATCAGTATGTCTTAGAGGAAGGCAATGATGACAGCAGTGGTCGTAATGAAGACAAGTGCCAGAAGTGAGTGTCAGAAGTCAGTGACCCTTCCCTTGCGCTCCCAATCGCCGAAGCGGGTGGGCTCAGGACCTGTCGGACCCCCTCTCTCGCCCGTCCGAGGATTCACGCCATCCGTGAAGGCGGCGAACGGGTCTTCATATGACTGGTTGTCCTCACTATCACTCTGACCCTCACTATGACTATGACTATGACTCGTATCCCCAGAATTGGCGTCTCTTTTAGGAGTTCTGTCGAGTCGTCCCAAAGGACTGTTTGGATCCGATTTCAGCTTTTCGTCCATTTGTGCCAACTTTTGTGACACTTTTGATGGTTTGGTTTGATTGTTTGGGCCATCGCTGAAGTGTCGATATATACGGCCATTGAGTGCAACGACTGGACAGATCCTCGGACTGCCTCTCAGTAATAGTGGTAATAGTGAACACATTTCACACAAACACTCAATTCATGGCATATATTGTCACCACTTGTCAGTCACACCAATAGATGGCACTTAAGGGTCCATTCGTTGCTATATTCTGTAATTCTGTGAATTGTATCAGAATTGTGGTCACATTTGTTATAACGACAATCATCTAAACCGTGTGCTAACCCCTCAACCCATAGTCAATAATATGTAAATTTATATTTATATAGTATTATCTGAAAATCAAATTCAATGAGAATATTGCTAATAAATAAAATTGAATACATTTTACTCTAGTATAGAATATGATTTATATATTCACAGATAGGCGTTAGTGATTTTAAATTAAAATTCATTCATGTGTTATTCTCCATAAGTTTATATGAAAGTATAACTAATATTACTAATAAGTTGACCAAGCTCTAACGCCTATCTGTGAATGAATTATTTAAAGATATATTTAAATATTTATAGAATATATAAAGTATTAACGGTTTATGGAAATGATTTTGACATTTATTTTTGTTTTTGAAAACTTTAAAACCTCTCGACACCTAAATAACTCTTATACTGTATATAATACTCTATTTCTTTACTCATATTTTTCAATTCAATGATTTTTCAAACAGGATTTGTATCAATATATAACCTTATACCTGTTATTTGTAGTGTTTGTTCATAATATGAGTTTTTTTTATATGTTGCAGACTTTTTGGTAAAAATATATGAATAATCAATACTAGTAAGATATTTTTATCTTATTTATCACATATTTTACTGCTCAAATTTGATATTTAATTATCTCTACTTTTTTAAAAGTGATTTTGAAAATAATAATTACTTTTCTCATGAAATGCATTATTTTTATTTCAAGCGTCAATTCATTAATTCAATTATCTATTAAATTAGATTTTCATATGAAAAGTGAGAATGAATTGATAGGAACTAAATGTATGTATAATTGAAATAACATTAGAGATTCTCTTCCCATTTAAGCCGTCAAAAGCATATGTTTGTGACACAAATGGTGTGAACAGCCATCACGTATTCAATGTTTTTAGTTCAACGATGAGTTCTCTATTAATTAGTTTATTGAAATAAAAACCACTTTTCCAAGTGTTTTCATTTGATCCATCTTTTATAAACTCAATACTCAATTAGTATTAGATTTGGTGCCAGGATATTTTTAGATATTTCCATGGAAAACTTCCCCGCACCAATATATCTTAAAGATATATGAGAATTGTTTTTATTTATATCTACAAAATAGGAATACGCTATAAATACAAAACAATTGAGGTTTATATTGAGGGTATCTAAAAAGTTAACAGGATAAAAGCTTACTCAAATAATTTTTACAAATATAATACAGTAATGTACATTATAATTTTATTTTTAAATATGGATATTTCAATTTTCATCATTAACTTAACAATAAATTATATTAATGTATAAAGTATTATCATTATGATGAGATCTCTAATAAAAATGGTTAAGATTTTGGTGCGAGTGGTAAGACTTACAATCGTTGTGTTATACTACAAACAATGGATTCATTAGGACTATTATGATTAACAATATCTTGATGTTAAGGCTACTATAGACTGGGATATACAACACTTGTGACACACAGACACAGACTAAACCAACTCTAATGAGAGGCTAATATAAGAAAGGAGTTCTTAAATAGTCTATACATAAGAGAATTGGTATTACAGTAGTAATAAGTTATTGCAGTAATGATAATTGGAATATATAGAAATTTATTATAACTGATTGAGTATTGAGTGTATTCAAACTAATTATCTTTGAGCTATGATTAATATGAGCTTATTGTGTTTGGATATGTGTATACTGTATGTGGATTATTGAGGTTTTTACAATAAGAGATTTTCGTCAAAATATTTTCAAATCATTTTGCATTGTGTTGTAATTTTCTAAATATTATCATTACTTATTTTAAAAAGTAGTCATTGTTTCTTACATCAATGAATATTACATTAAATTATATGTTAATTTTAAAATGTATTTCTCTGCTGGTTTGTTATAAAATATAATTGGTTTAAATTATAGGATTTCTGGATATAAAGCATATATTTTAATACAATGACATGTTTATTATTATGTGCATATGGAACATGATAATCATAATATAAATATGGTTTAAGGTTTATTTTCAAATCTTACAATTTTGGAAGACTTACAAATTTTTTATAAGCCATGATAAATGTTTGAAAGCCATGTGAAAATTGGATTCAACCTATCGATCAATTGATGTGATGATTGACTTAAATTTATTGTTTGAGAAACAAAATTCAAGAGATGCTGAAAATCATTTGAATTCAATATTGAGGCTTAAATAAATAAAATAAAAAATGATGAAAACTAGAATCCAATTTTGAATTTAATTATTTTTATTTAATGTGCAAAATATTGATACTTAACGTTTTAAGAGTTTTTATGTAAAGCATAAGTATTTGCTAAACATTTCACTTTAAA